ATTTTTCAGTGTTACAGAACAAAGAAAGTCATAAATCAAGGCAAGTTTAAAATACATTGGTGGGCACACCAGACAGGCAGATGCATTGAGATGGGGGAAACATTTTAAAGGTCCAAGATGCTATCTGATGACATTCTTAGCTCTCCACAGTCCTGGACTCCAGTCTGTCCATCAGTCTCTCCAGACAGACTGCTTCCAAGAGGTCTGTTAAATTTTATCCATCTATTTATTTTACATCCCAGCCACAGCCGCTCCTCATCACCCCCCCCCCTACATCTCTACCCCACTTCCACCCCTTTCCCTCTTCCAACTCCATCCAGGAAAGGGCAGGTCTCCCATGAGTATCAATAAAATATAGCCTACCAAGTTGCAGTAAAACTAAGCAATGCACACACACCCATGTATTAAGGCTGGGCAAGGTGACCCAGTATAAGGAGTAGAGTCCCAAAAGCCAATGAAAGAGACAGACAGCCCTTGTTCCTGCTATTAGGAATCCCACAAGAGGACCAAGCTACATAACTGTAGCATATATTCAGAGTGCCTATGTCAGTCCCATGTAGGCTCCCTGGTTGTCGGTTCAGTCTCTGAGAGCCCTTATGAGCCCAGGTTAGTCGATTGTGTGAGCCTTCCCATGGCATCCTTGACATCTCTGGCTCCTACATGCCTTTTTCTTTTCCCCTCTGGATTCCCAGACTCTGCCTAATGTTTGGCTGTGGGTCTCTGCATCTGCCTCCATCAGTTGCTGGATGGCACCTCTCTGATGACAATTGGGCCAGACACCAATCTGGTTTCAGCAGATGGTCAGTTCAGGTTACTTATCCCCGACTGCTAGGAGTCTAAGCAGGGTCCCCCTTTGAATCACTCACTATATAGCCTTGGCTGTCCTGGAACTCACTGTATGCCTACCATCCTGTGCCTAAATATGTTGTCATGGAACCAACAGCCTTGGAGGGCAAGAGGTAAAACCTTCATTTTTTTTTTCCCTGTAAAAGGACATTGCAAAGTTAGGTCTAGAAATGCAGGTGTGTTTGGGTGCAGGATGGTAATCAGGAGGGAGCTGGACAATAAAGTTCCTTGCTCATTCTGTGAGTGGACACTGTAGGGTTTCTCCTGGTAGACTCTCAATGGTAGAGTGTCCTTAACAAACACAAGACCCTGAGAGAAAAAAGGAATCTTAGCTAGGCATAGTGGCACATGCCCAGAGCCCCAGAACTTGGTAGACTCAAACAGAAGGATGGAAAGTTCCAGGCCTGCCTGGGCTATATGACAAAATCCTATGTTTTTTTAAAAAAGTGTGTTGCAGGTGGTAGGGGCTGGCACAGTGGCACATGCCTTTAATCTCAGCACTCAAAAAGTAGAGGTCACTCACTGAGTTCTTCATCTACAGAGAAGCTTCAGGCCAGCCAGGGCTACACAGTGAGACCCTGTCTGGAAAGGGGAAGGGAGCTGGAAAGATGGCTCAGCAGTTATGGACGCTTACTAATCTTTCCGACGACATCAGTTCAGTTCCCAGGAACTATGTTAGACAATACAACTAATTGCCTCTAACTCCATTTCCAGGGGATTGAACACCTAAGCTTCTGTTAGTACCCACATGCTATAAACAAACCCCAACACAGACACACACATAAATATGTATAATTTTTTAAAAAGTGTTTCTAGCTGGGCGATGGTGGCGCACGCCTTTAATCCCAGCACTCGGGAGGCAGAGGCAGGCGGATCTCTGTGAGTTCAAGACCAGCCTGGTCTACAGAGCTAGTTCCAGGACAGGCTTCAAAGCCATAGAGAAACCCTGTCTCAAAAAAACCAAAAAAAAAAAAAGTGTTTCTAAACAAAAACAAAACAAAGGCCCCGGGTGGAATGTGGCCTGCTATAGCCACATCCACCTTCCTGTCGGAGGGAGTGGAAGCCTTCCCAACATCAGAATTCTCCACCTGGGCTCAGAAACCTCCATGTGAGGCTCAACTCCAGACCTTCCTGCCTTCCCCACAGGCCATCTTGGTGGCACCACGTTAGGACTTTGGCACTGACATCATGTAACCTGGGGATTCCCCAGTTCGGCACAAGCTGGAAACGCGAGCTGAGTTCCGGACTGCGTTCTGTTCCTGCTCTCCACGTGCTCGCCTCCAGTGAGACTTTCCTTCCCATGGCTCCTCTGAAATCAATGCTGCCCCAAGCTCAGGGTTCCCCCCAAGCTCTGGAGAGCCCACAGGGTGTGGGAAAGAACTAGAAACTCGGCAGACGGTCCTTTCGCTCTTGCTCTGGGTTTTAATTTCTGTGTGTGATATCACTGGCTGACTCTGAAACTAGCTGTCAAGTCTCAAGGAGGAAACTGAGGTCCGAGATTGCCAAGTCGCACCCTAGAAGCCACGCCCCAGGCTTCCCTAGTTTCCTTTTCTCACCTCTCACCACATCCCTTCCATTTCCTGCTGGCTCCAGGCTAAAGCCACAGCTTTGGGACACTGAAGCAGGAAGAGTTCAAGCTTGAGGCCAGTCTGTCTTTTTCTTTTTTTTCAAAAGTTTTTAGTATTTTTTTTTTTGAGACAGGGTCTCTCTATGTGGCTTTGGCTGTCCTTGCAGGCTAGGCCGACTTCATAGAGCTCTGCCTCTTTCTGTTCCCAAGCACTTACAAAACATAGATAGATAGATAGATAGATAGATAGATAGATAGATAGATAGATACAGACAGACAGGCAGGCAAGGCTCAAAAATAAAGTATGGAGGGCTAGTGAGATGGCTAAGGGGGTATAGCACCTGCCATACAAGCCTGAGGATCTAGAATGGATCCCTAAAACCTGAACAAAGGTGGAAAAAGATAACCGATTCCAGAGTTTTCCTCTGACTTCCACATGTGCACTTTGACACACATGCCTTACATGCACATGTGTAAAACAAATAATAAAAAATTAATAATGATAATTATCAATAATAACAATGACTAAGCAGGGAAAGGATAGAAAATGCAAAGACAAGTGGATGGTTAGGTTGGGTTTTGAGAAGAATTGTGTAACTCCCACCCGAGGGAGAATTTTATCTGCTGGGTGGATCATCTGAGAACGTGAGGCAGGAGGTATCGGGGCTGTTTCAAAGAGTAAACTCTTGAGATATCTGAGGAAAGGAAGGAGAAGAAAGTGCAAAGGCCACGAGGACTTGATGCTCTAACAGCAACAGGAGGCCAGTGTGGCAGAAACATGTGTGGGAGTGGAGTGAGCAGGGTACAACAACTGCAAAGAATCCATTTGAGATAAGATTTGTCAGGAGGGGATGGGCCAGAACGCCAGGGAAACCAAAAGGGAATAGGTCCAGGACTCAGGTGGAGCCACTTGTCCAACACTGGGGACAGCACGCCAATGGCTAGAACTGGCATAAAGCGAGAGGGGGGGGATGATGAAGGCCAGAGGGACTGGGAGGGAAGGCCAGAGGTCCAGAAGCAATAATCAGAGATGTGGTTTATTCATGAGAGGACGGACAATGGGAGGGGCAGTGGACAGAATTGAGGGAGGACCAAGGACTGTGTGCTCCATGGTGGGGAGTGGGGTGGCTGTGCAGAAGGCCAAACCAATCTCTGTCCTTATCATCCCGCAGCTCCCGAACCCCTACCACATCAGAAGTGGGTGGAGGAGCTGCTGACCCTGGGGGTGGGGCAGAAGACACCTGACTGGACCAGGATGTGCTGGTCCAGTTTCCATTTTCTCCCCTGCAGCTCTCCAACAGCTTCCAGGATTGGTATCTCCCTGGCACTATGTCCTGGGCATACTTGGGTGGGCAGTTCTTAGGCAGTGCTGAGGAGCTAGGGTACCCAAAGGGGAAGCCCCCTTGGTTTCTGTCTCACAGAAGGAACCCTGTAGGGAAACCCCACAAGTCCCAAAAGGAAAGTGGGAGTTTGGGGAAGACCAAGAAACCCCCATGCTCTCTCAAAAGATGGGAAATCAAGGGTGTGGCTGAGAGCAGAGTTGTAGTAGCAGGGACGCTGTGGTCAGGCTCCATCCCTGACCATGATCCTCATGGTCCTGAAACCCTGGGTTTACTGCGGGGCCTGACTGAGGCTTGAACCTCATACAACCCCAAGCTGGCCTCAGGTTGAACCTCAGTTCTGGTCATTGGTTGAGGTCTTAGCCTAGCCTAAGTTTTCACCTCACTGAGTCACAGCCTCCGTCAGAAGCTACACAGCTCTGTCACCCATGAAGCCCGAAGCCTAACACTGACCAGCCACAAGCAGAGGGTTCACTGATAGCTCTGGCCCCAAATACAGAGAGAGCACACACACTGGCCCCAGACTAGGCACTGAGTTCGGCCCTAGACCAAGTTCTGACCCTTGATGTGGACTGAGCCCTAATCCTATGTGACTCTGTCCATAGACAGAGCCATTGTCTGAATAAAGCTGATTATGATACCGTGGTCTCAAGATTGGTCTCCTTCAGCCCTGACACTTGGTTACAGATACCTGAATGCCAGCTCTCGGTGCGTCAAACTAGGCCCTGCCAGCCCCACACAGACTCATTCCTCACTATGGAGCTCTGACTTCCCGCACACTCTTCAGCCATCTGGTAAACCGAATGAGGGTATGGATGAGTCAACCCCACCAAGTCCCCTCTTGTGGGTAATTCCCTTACCTGGCCATCTGTCATTCACAGGACAATGGAGTGGCCATGGCCCTCGGATGCTAGTAGCAGTTGAGAAGTATGAGGAGGTTGGATCTTTTGAGTTCCACCAGTGCACGGAACTATGTGAGTGGACTAGAGGTGGGGAGTTGAGGAAGGGGCTGGACCTGGGAGCCCAGCAGTAGGTCCGGAGCTCAGACGGGCTGAAACCCCGAGCTTCCCGCCACCCCCCTGCTTCCCCCTCTGGGAAGGGAAATTACATTTCCCCATTTTAGAAGGGAAGACTTGGTGAGCACAAAGCTGAAAGTACAAGCAGGACAGAAAGTGAAACTGGGCGCAACCCCCAGTATAAGACCCCCCTACCCAGGAGATGGCTGCACTCAGAGGCTGGGCCCTGACATGGGCCAGGTGACCGGAGGCCTTGGCTGGCGTGAGTTGCTGGGACTGGGCAAAGGGATGGGAGGTTTGAAGGAGAGCCTGGGAGAGCTGGACAGGTAGGGCAGGGGCAGAGGGCTGAGGGGCAGCACCTTGGCCCAGCTCATGGGCATGGCTGGCTGGCCATACAGCAAGGCTGGAGTAAGAGGGCAGGGGCTGGAACAGTGGGATTATAGTCTTGCCCAGATTGGGCAAGTGTTAGGACAGTTTGGCTGGGATGTGTAAGAAAGACTGGATAAGCGATGTGGCTAGGAGTAGGACTCTATAGACAAATGGAGACAGGGCTGAAAACTGAGGACTGTCAGAGGAACAGCATGGGGAGGGGGCTGGAACGAGCGATGCCTGGGACCAAGTGGGCAGCCGCTCTGAAGCTTAGAGGTTGCCCAGTCTGCAGCTGGTAACCAAGGAGCTAGGAACAGAACTGTAGGAGGACAAGTGGCAGGACTGGGTAGGATCAGAGAGCTGGAGGATGAGGGCAGGATTCACTACAAAAGGGATCTTGGCATGTCCAGAACTTAAAGAGGGTATGAGTTAGCACAGGTTAGTCTGGGGTGTAATCTTTACTAGGGCCCAAGGGTACATGTTCTATCCTCATCCTAGAGCGAGGAAGAATTCTGCTTTGCTTTAGTCTCCAGGATGCTAGAGAGTCAGAAAGTTCCCAAGCCGAGAAGCCTGAATGCCAGAGATCTCAAGCACTGCCTACTTCTGAAAGCCCATTAACTTCTTCCAAGGGCACTCAGAGGTGGGTTAGAGATTATGAATAGACAGAGAAGGGGAATGGAGAAGAGCAGGAGTGGTGACAGATTTGGGGTTGGTTTGGGTTTGGGTTTCGAGAGGAACTGTGTAACTCCCGATTGAGAGAGAAACCTTTGAAGACTGCCCTCTTCCACTCCACTGTCCTGCTCCCTTCTTGGGAGCCTGGAACACAGAGATAACAAGTGACCTGCTCGAGGAAGGACTAGGATAGCCTCCTCCCTCCCATCAGTGCCACCTCACCCCATGTCCCTTCCAGTGCCATGCTGCTGATTTACCCCAGAAGGGCTCCAGTGCACTGTGGCCCTTCCATCTGAGTCCCTGGAATAGAGCCACTGGCTTTGCCAGGTCTCTTTCATAGCCCTAGGTTAGTTCAAAGCATCAGAGCTGCCTGGGAGAGTCCAAAGAATCCTTAGCAGAGCAGAGTCCCCACTTCTGGGACAGGAGACTACTTCATCTGAGTTCCCTGGGGAAAGCATGCTGGACTGTGTTTGGACGGCTCTGGAATCCAGCCCTGCCTCCTGGTTCCTCTCACTGTCTGGTTCCGGCTAGTTGCGTTTCCCGTCTCAAGATCCATCTCCACTGCAAAATGGAGACAATACTAAGGACCAGGCTACATGCATGCAGTTATGCAGGCAACTGACCAAGGGAATCAGTGGGGGTGGTGTATGTGTACAGGTCCCACCTTGTCTCCTTACAACAGTGACACTTGTGCAGAGATGACACAGGGCAGCTTCTATGGTCCAAATGATGGTTCTAAGGGGACAGCTTGAAGATGCCAGGGAAAGAGACTCAGTGCTGTATAGACTGGTTCTCTTCTCTAGGGTTCTCAGGCCTTTATCTTGCCCTCTTTTTTTATCTTGAGCCCTTTCTCCTCTCTCCAGGGCTCAGCCTGCTGCTGCTACCCTTGCTTCTGGTGCAAGCTGGTGCCTGGGGGTTCCCAACAGGCCCCCTGAGCCTGCAGGAGCTGCGCAGGGAATTCACAGCCAGCCTGCACCTTGCCAGGAAGCTGCTCTCTGAGGTTCAGAGCTATGTCCACAGCTTTGTGAGTCTCCTTAATGCAGTCAGGTCTGGAGGTGGGTGGGGACACCCCCAAGTCCCACTGGGCCCCACTAACAGAACTTACCCTTCAGGCTGAATCTCGGTTGCCAGGAGTGAACCTGGACCTCCTGCCCCTGGGACATCATCTCCCCAATGTTTCCCTGACCTTCCAGGCATGGCGTCACCTCTCTGTGAGTGAAGGGCAGGGAGTGGGGAAACTGGCAGTAGAGCCTGGTACACAGACAAGGGTTTAAGTGAACATGGATCTACAAGTTTGTGTGGTTAATATGCCTCTCTGTATATAGAAGAGAAGCTGAAAGGATAGTGGATAGTGGCACACATCTGTAACCCCAGTACTTAGGAAGCAGAGACTTCAATTTGAGAGGGGGGAGAGAAGGAGGGAGAGAGAGAAAGACAGACAGACAGAGGCAGAGAGAGAGAGAGAGAGAGAGAGAGAGAGAGAGAGAGAGAGAAGGAGAGAGATGAAGCATGCTGGAATTTGAAAATGGGAAAGGAAGATGGTGAGACTGACTCTGGGTAGGGGAGGAGGTGGGGCTGGGAGTGCAGTGGATTGGGGGTGGAGGAAAGAAGTGGGCTAGTGACTGGGATGGGAGTGGGGTCAGGTCAGAGATGAGAAGACTGCTGTAGAAATCATGGTGAAAATTTAGGCTAGGGACGGGCAAAGTGGGTGGAAGGGGCAAACAAGGAATCTGAGTCTGCAGAGGGAACTGGGTTAGGAGTGGGAATGAGGCAGAAAGAGGTAGAGATGTTGAAATCAGGATGTGATTGACAGGTTGGACAGGGTGGCAACAGAAGGAGTGGAATGAGACTGTGGATGGAGGGAGATGGGCTGAGTTGAGACCAGAGAAGAGTATGGGCTAAGGAGGGGATGGGATAGAGCTCACACCAATGGTGAGGGAACACAAGAATAAATTCAAGGAGGCAGCAAGATGGCTCAATAGATAAAGGTGCTTGCTGTCAAGCCTAACGACCTGAGTTCAATCCCTGGGACCTACATGGCAGAAGACAACCAATCCCAGCAAGTTGTCCTGTGACCTCCACAGGCATGCGCACACATACACATACGCACGTGCTATAAACAAACACAGTGTAATGAGTTCTTTGGGTTTTTTGAGATAAGTTCTCACTATTTGCTCTGGCTATCCTAGAACTCAGTATGTAAACCTGGCTCACCTCAAACTCACAGAGATCTATCTACCGGCCTCTGCCTCCTGAGTGAGATTAAACGCGTGCGCCACCACGGCCGACATAATACATTTTTAAAGAGTAAATTGAGAATGAAATGAAAGCTGGCATGAAAAGGAGACCCACATGAAGATGAGGCTGGGTTTGGGGTTCTGCAGGTGTCTCTTGACCATCCCCCTTCCCTTTAATAGGACCCAGAGAGGCTCTGCTTCCTCTCCACCACACTCAGGCCCTTCCCTGCCCTGCTGGGAGCACTGGGGAGTCAGGCGACCTGGACCAGCTCAGAGAGGGTGCAGCTGTGGGCCATGAGGCTGGATCTCCGGGACCTGCACAGGCACTTCCGCTTCCAGGTAGTGTGGCCACTATGCCCTTGACCCCCAGGGATCTAGAAGCCAAATGAACTCACTGGCTCCCTTTTGAAAGACCCCTGTGAATCAGGTTGTGGAAGCCTAGTGAGACCTTCAGGGCCTGTGAGTAAATAGTGGCTTCAGAGCCTGGCTCTGCCCCAAAGTCTCTGCCTGCTCTTGGGGACTGGATTCCAAGGAAAGAACCCAGGGTCACCAGGACAGACTCTGCCATCATCAGGCGCAGTATCTGTTCTCTTCTCCCTCTGATTCTGACATCACTCAGATTCTCCTAGACATGTCAGAGGGCAATAGAAATTTTACCTTAGTAAAAGGGGAATAGAAAATGCAAGCAAGAGCGGGAAGTGGTCCTGTCACACCTGATGACCCTGAAAAATTCCTTAAGAGCAGAGAGGGATTTCCTGAGCCTGACCCCCAGGGTGACCCAGGGGATCAATCCCACCCTGGCTGTAATGCCTTGCTCTACTATGGCCATTTTTTTTTAATTAAAAAAATAATAGGTAAGGGGGCTGGAGAGATGGCTCAGTGGTTAACAGCACTGACTGCTCTTCCAGAGGACTTGGGTCCAATTCTCAGTACTTACATGGCAGCTCACAAGCATCAGCTCAGGGGATCTGATGCCCTTTCTCACCTCCTTGGGACCTGGCACACAGGTGGTGCACAGACATACATGTAGGGAAAACATCCATACACATAAAATAAATGTAAAAGTTGTTTTTGTTTTTGTTTTTTTAATCTATTAAGCCAAGTGTGGTGATGCATTCCTGTAGTCCCAAACACTTGGCAGGTTGAGGCAGCAGGATTGTGATCTAAAGGCCATTCTGGAGTTACATAGGAAGATTCTGTAGAAACAAACGCATGCAAGAAATATAGAGCTGGAGAGAACACGGCAGTTAAGAGCACTTGTTGCTCTTGCAGAGGATAAATGCTCACTAAGATCCCTAACTCCAGTGTCAGGACATCCAGCACCCTCTTCTGGCCTCCAAGAACACCAGTCTTGCAGGCCGTGCACATACATACATGCAGGCAAAACACTCATACACGTAAGATAAGAACAAGTAAACCATTAAAAATTAAAAAGAATTTTTGGACTTGAGAGATAGCTCAGCAGTTAAGAGCACTGTTTACTCTTGGAAAGGACCCTAGTTTGAGTCCCAGCATCCTCACGGTGACTTACAACCATCTTGAACTTCAGTCCTTCAGTCCCAGGGGACCTGATGTCTCTTTTCATCTTCTCAAGCACTGCACACATGTATTGTACATACATACACTCAGGTACACGCACATACACAGATAGATAGATAGATAGATAGATAGATAGATAGATAGATAGATAGACAGATAATCTTAAAGGAAAAGGAAACAGACTCCGATAAGATGTGAGATGCTGACACCCGAGGTCTGGGGTAGAGGCCGTCCAGAACAATCATGGCCGTGGTCATGAATGTCATGAGGAGGTGATGGGCAACAGAAGGAATGAAGACTCTCAGGTTCTTCATGCGGCGCTGTGTGATCCGCGGGCCTTTCCTCACAGGTGCTGGCTGCAGGCTTTAACTGCTCTGAGGAGGAGGAAGACAAAGAGGAAGAGGAAGAAGGGAAGGAGCTGTTCCTAGGGGCTCTGGATGGCCCCAACCAGGTGTCATTCCAAGTGTCCTGGCCCCAGCTGCTCTATACCTACCAGCTCCTACACTCCCTGGAGCTTGTCCTCTCTCGGGCTGTTCGGGACCTGCTGCTGTTGACCATGCCCCAGCACACAGGCCCGGCTTGGGATTCCTAACACCTAGCTTCCGGCCCTATGGAGTGACTTTCGACTCCCTTCCCACACCTGTTAAGACGCTAAGGCTGGAGGCTGGCCAACAGTATAGGACAGCCTCTAGCCCATTTGCCTTAGACCAGGCAGGGCTTCACTAGTCCCCAGCCCTGACCCAATAACTTAAATGTCCAACAGTCCTCACCAGATATTTATTTCTTGGATATTTATTTATTTTTAGGAAATGATGGTTTATTTATTGTCTCATTCTTGAGTTAGGTCACCGTGCCGGGTGCCTAATAAAGCCTTCTGGCCCACTTTGAGCCTCCATGTCTTCACAGGAGTGTCGGACACCCAAAGAGCAGGACAGCTTGGGGAGAGTCCAAAGCTTCTACCTGCCCAGAACCTTTCTCTACTTCTATATTCTTAAAGTTTCTACAATGTACCCCAACTCTGGCCTGGAGGTTACCATAGCAACCTGCAGAGTTGTGATGCTGAGCTATCATTTTGGAAACTCAAAAGCAGCTGGTCTGCTTCTCATGACCTTTGAACTCCAGGCCCTTGAAGTTCTTTCCTTCGGGCTGACTTCCACCCCAGAGGTGTGTTACCTTACACAGCTCTCTGCGGGGCTCTAGCATGATGGGTAGTTGGGTGGGGGTGATCATACAGGGAAGACTTAGGGAAGGAGGTCTCCCTAATCCTGTCTTCCTTGTAGTCTCCTGAGTAGCCAAGACAGATGGGAAATGTGACCAGGGAAGGACCCATGATAGATGCCAGTGGGACCGGTGCTCCACCAGTTTACACTGTGGGATCAGACTCCTTAGATTCAAGGTCTTCATAAACGTCTGGTTTAGCTGAGGCCCACAGAGGTACAAAGATATGTTTCAGTAGCTGAGGGAGTCGAGGGTAACCAGAGTCCAGCAGAGCGTCCTGACCCTCCCTTAGGAGGCTTGTCTCACAAGGGCTCTAGGCCCTGTCACTGTGGCTTTGGCCGGCTCAGTCGGGCTTGCAGCTCCTGCATCATGCCAGGATGGGCGAAGCCGAACCTGTAGAAGGAACAGACCCATGGGAACTGGATCCCAGGTGCCCACAGCCTCCTCACCATCCCAAGTGTAGTGCCCCATGCCTACCCAGGTCCCAGCATTTTTCTCCTGGCTGGCACCGGAGTGTCTACAGGCCTTGTGGCACTTAGTTCTGAAGTTTCCTCTGGCTGAAGAGGCGACGGCTCAGGGAACAGCTCCTCCTGGGGTTGGGGACTGGGAGGGTCATACTGCGGCTCAGGAGCGGAAATTCTGCGCAGCGAGGGCCTTGAGCGCCGCCGTGAGGAACTTCGAGAGAGAAGCACACGACTCCGTGGGACAGAGACGTCCAGGAGGGTTCCAGGGAGCAGGGCCTGCAGGGTAGGGGACACAGAGGACTATGGAGAGCTGACTTCCAACTTCTGCTTGTCCCTCTCAGGGTCCTGCTGGAGCCCTCACCTCATTCCAGCTGCTGTGAGCATCCCCTGGGGCACTTGCTGTGGCCCCACCCGATTCAGAGAAGCCAGGCACAGTTAGTGTGGGGATTTGGTGTGTCTGATGCCTCTCTTGGTCTGAGGGTTCTGGATCATTCTCCTGGATCTCTGTCCTCTGTGCTTCTCTCTCGGCATCCTCCACATCATGCAGCTTTTGTGTCTCTCTCTCAGAGTTGTGGGCCTCCCACTCTCTTGATAGCCCTCCTCCAGCTTCTTCTTCTAAGGACATCTGATCTCCTAGGCGACCCTCAGTCTCCATGATGGTTATAGACCCCTCAGCTTTCTCTACCTGGGAGCCTAAAGTCACGCCATCTATTCCTGTCATTCCTTCTGCCATTACAGATGTCCCCATATCTGCCTGCTCTCTCTCTCCAGTCCCATCAATTTCTTGGATATCATAACTAGGTGCCTTCTCCTCTACTGAGCTCTCCGAGGCAACTTCCTGCCCATTTTGCGTCTCTGTAGCCTCTTCCAGCTCCATGCCTCCCCCGGTCTCCCCTCTGCCCTTGGAATGCTGGGCTCTCCCAAATTCCCTCTCTTGACTCACCCCAGCTTCCCATTCCGGCCCTTCCTCAGCTCCCTCAGTCCTGATACCCATGCTAATCTCAGGCTCTGAAGAACTGGTCTGCATATCTTCACTGTCCTGCAGGCTCAGGGCCACCTCCTCCAGGCTCCTCTTCCTACACATTCTGTTTGTCTCCCAAGGCACTGCAGTCTCCCCCTCACTAGTCTTGCTTTCCGTGGGCTTGAATTCTTCCACTGACTGGCCTGTCGCTGCCTCTGCTCCTTGGCTTCCCTCCAGCTCCTGGTCCACTGCTATGGAGGTCAGTTCTGCCTCTGCTCCCCACCCTGGAACCTCTGGCTGTTGGGACTCCTGGCCTCTTTCAACCTCGACCTCCACTGCCTGTCCTGTTGCAATCTCTTCCTCTTCTTCTTCTTCTTCTTCAGCATCTACTTTTACATCCTGGGTATTTCTATTGTCCACATCCCTTCCCTGGTTTTCCTGAGCTTCTAGCTCAGGATCTGCAAATCCCACAGGCCTGAGGCAGTCCTCCAAGCTCAGCGCCCCCTCTGGGCTCAGGTTTGGAGCTCTCCTGGTCTCTTCCTGACCCTGCTGTCCTTCCTCAAGGTGTTCAGTCAAGGTCTGGGAACCTCTCAGCAGCTCAGGGTCCTGTCCTTCAGTGACCTTTGCTCTCAATACCTCTAGTCTCATCTGAGTGGCCTCACTCTCCTCTGCCATAAACAACTCCTCAGGCCTGGCTTCTGGAGAGTCTTCCAAGTCAGGCTCACATTTAGCCTCCTTGTCCAGGGCTAACACAGCCTCTGTGGTCCCATAGCCCCTTTCCTCCTCGGGGAACTCTTCTACCTGCATCTCCTCTTCCAGACTCACCCTCCTATCAGCACTGGCTAAGTCTTGCCTTTCCTCGCCCTCAAAGCTGCCCTGCATCTCTTGGTCTTCCACAGTCTCCTTCCCTACTATCTGGCCTTCAGTCATCTCTTCAGTCCTCTCGGTCTCCAGGGTCTGGGGCTCATCTCTAGCTTCAGCCTCTCTCTTCTCATCCATCTCACCTTGCTGCTCTCCCTGGCAAGCCTCTTCTAGGACCCAGACTCTCCCAGTAGCTTCTGGAATGCTGTCTTCTGAGTCTAGCCCATAGTCTGCTTCCCTAATGCCTAAGTCATCAGCGTCCTCCCTGCCTGAGACTGTCCAGGCCTTTCTATCCAGCATGGCCTCAGATTCTGCCCCTGGGTGTTGTGCTCCCTGTGCCCCTGCACTTTGGCCATCCCTCACCAGGACTATCCTCTCTTCTTCCTCATCAGCCCCTTTGGCCTCAAACCCCTTAGCCTTGGCCACCCAGTCTGTCTCTTTGCTATTCGCTGTTACATTCTGCCCGTCAGGACCAGCATTCCCCTCAGGCTCCCTGTGCCAGGCTGGTTGTGACAACTCCACACCCCTGGCCATTCCGGGCTCTGCTGCTCTGACCACCTCCTCCTCTTCTTTCTGTTCACAGGTTCTCAGCGGCTCCCCACTATTCACTTCCTGCTCACCGTGCTCCCAGATCTCCTGGGCGCTCTTACTGTTTCTGTCTCTCTGAGTCCCAGGCCCTGCCTCAGGCTTCAGCAGAGCATTTGGCTCCTGGCCCCTGGCACCCTCAGCTGCCTTCCTGGACCCAGTGTCCTGCTTTTCTGCTCGGGGCCTTGGGGAGCTGTCTGCTCTCCACCCCCATGCCTGTTCACCAGCTAAACTTCCTTCTTGGCATCTGATGATCTCTCTAGGTGCTGCTACCCTCTGACTCTGGTCACTTCTAAATCCCTCCAGCGCCTTCTGGGCTTCCTCCTGTATAAACTTCCCCGGCTTCCCTGCAGCCACTTCCCCCAGTTCCTCAGCTGCCTGCCTCTCCCTCTCCACCGTGGGAACTGTATCTCCTATGAGGTAGGACACAAAAGCGCTGAAGGAATCCTAGAAGAGAAGAGAGCAGAGTGAAGACATTCAGGGGAAATCTAGCCCTTTCCCTAGAGGCATTACACCAAAAAAAAGTCCAGGTAAGAAATCTGGGATTGGAAACCTGCGTAAGGACCAAGACAGGGCCTAGTATGAAGTACATGCATGCTCTCGTGGGAGCGGGAGATTGAAACCCAGGAAGTCTGGCTGACTGTAGGAAAGGACCCCACACCTGAGGAGAGGCTCTAAGGGAGGGGGAAAGGTGAGACTACAGGGAGTGGCTGGAAGCCTCTGGTATCTCTCTGCCCCTCTCACCAGTGCTCCCCTCAAGGCCTGATGTAGCCCAGGGAGGTGAAGCCGGAGAAAATCCATCCTGTCCGTCTCTGTCTGTCCAGAAAGCTCACAATGACCATCCGTCCCCACCCACGAGTGCAAGCCAGTCCTCCCCAGCACCCAAGACACTTCCTCTTCCCCTGCCTGTCCCTGACGTCTCTCCACCCCAGGCCCTGAGCACCTCCCCCAAGCTCATGGATGACTTCACGACAGGCAGGGAGACGGCTGTACAGTGTCCAGGTGTCTCAGGCTCAGGGACACATCTGGAGCTACAGGGCAGAGGATCAGGCCAGAAAGGAAAGGTGGGAACCGGACACGGCAGATTTGGGCATGGGGGAGGGGGCATGTGGCAAGCGCAGCCTGAGTGACTCAGGTCTTCTATTCACACCTCAGCCAGTTCCGTCTCCTCCAAGCCACAGCCTTCAGTGAGAGGAAGCTCGGGTTTGTGGTTCCTGATTTGTCTGAGGAGAAGCAGTAGGATGGAGAACGAGGCCAGTGGAAGTTCTGGCTTCCCACTTCCATGCCACTGACACTTCTGAGGGGATGAAGGGCCTGGATTGGTGTTTCCAGTACCCATGTCCTCACCTGTAGCTATTGTACTGTGGTCATGTGTCATGCAGCTTTCTGTGAATTCATTAAGAACAGAGGCTGCGGTATCTCTAGGGCCCTGCATGGGGAGCAGGATCCTTGTCTCATTGGTTGAGTGAGCTAGGAAGAACACAACAGGAGGGCATATTTCAAACAGCGATCTTAATGATCTATCGGTTGAAAAAAACCGGTAGAAATGGGCACAAGCTGCTAGAAGCCATTCCCACAGAGGAATGGGCTTGATGAAGAGTGGTCAAGATGCTGACCTACCACCGAGAGGAAGGTAAG